TTTTAGTCGAACCGTCCTTCGAAGTGTTCCGTCGAGCGTTTAACTTAATGTTGGTGAGAAAGAGCCTTCATACCTGTTGGCTAACGCACAGAAGTCATTTTCGACAGCCGTTCTGTTCTGTAAAGGCATTTCGCCTTAACCAATGGTAACAACCTTCTGTAGAAGAACATGCACTGTTCATCAATATTAGTGGTTCGGCAGGATACGTCTGGTCAAACCATTAACTGCGACATTGCAGATAAGTCGAGATGGACTAACAAATTTACAGAAATACAATCTTTATTGCATGCTCATGCCAACTGCTTTCAACGGCCATCTTTGAGACGCAAATGAGACGATTTCTAGAGGCACTAAGTATGTTCAGTCGCTTTCCGCAGTGTTCGTTTTGTGTGTTTCCGATGCCACTGACTAGGAATTCACTTCAGCTCTATATACTTTACTAAGGAGTTAGAAGATTTTTGGTACGCATTCTCTGAGTCCCCGGCACCATGACCTCTAGCCACTTGCACCAACTAGCTAGAAGGTTATGCCACTGAGGCATGGGGGAAGGTAGCAGACTGTCATAAATCGAAAGCTAACTAGGATGTAGCGCATCCCGTCCTCCATTGCCATACAGTTTACTTCCATTGTGGAAGTGAGTGGTTGGCCTGAACAGAGGTCACGACTTCTACGACACAGCGTCTATGTGCGCATAGCGTTTGAAGACTGTGGGGGGGGGGGGCTAATTTGTGGTTACTACTGATAGAAGCAATTTGGAGAATAATTTACTAGTTCCTCCCAGCTGCTCATAAGCTGATGGTTAATGAGCGCAAGCTGCTAGGGATAAAGCTTTTCGTGCCCTAAAGACGACCGTGGAACGCACACTCCGGACAAGTCCCAGCAGCGTGAAACGGACGTCTGGTGCTTTTCGGGATTGGGGTAGGCTGTCCGGCTTGTGAGGTGTTGGGATGTCCCAGCACTATCCTTCCGTTTTTACAAACGCCAGCAAGTCGGGCCCATGCAGACTTGCACCATGTCTTAGGCGGAATGAAGCAAGGCTAAGGTCGACGGTCAACCCTAAACTGATGTGCAATATCTGTAGCCAAAAATCATGTAGTAGAGCTGATGTCAAGGTGGGCTGCCATTCCATGTGCAGCGCACAACTAAGAGAATAATGTTTCTAGAATTTGGTGTGACTAATAGGCAGTTAGCGTTCTGCACACATTTGGAAAGTTTTAGTAGCATTAGTGGTCCGTTGGAAGTGGATCCCGGAGCAATTTCCGGAGCACATTCTACTGCCCATCTTTGGTACATTTAAATACGCATGACACTATGGAACGTTGCGATCACTGCAATTCTACACGGTTGTATTAGTCTTTGGCGGCCTCAGTCAACAATCAGCCAAGAAAAAAGAGATATTTGACTCATGCACATTGACTTTGGCCAAGCTTCAAAGCTGCTACATGCGCGCGGGTTTGTTTGGCTGAAGTAACATGCGGGCAAAGAACTGTAGCCTTGCTGTGAATAACAGCTCGAGCCCCACTATAGGCAAGTTATCGACCCGAGGCGTGTTGGCATAGTTATGACAACTAAACCCGTGGATGCATACGCTTCGGGAAGCCGCGAACTTGTGTGACTGCTTCAAAGACAGCATACATTAGTTAGAACAAACTGCAAGCCAGAACGGATGTAAAGTATTAGTCGGATATATGCGAATTAGTATCATAGATCCCAAAAATGAATCGATGTTATCATTAGGGTAATTACTTGACTCATGAATAGGATAAACTGGAAGAAAAAGAGACAGAAGTGCTGCAGAAAACAATACTGCTAAGGTTCTGTATGATAGTGAAAACTGTTCGGATGCCCACTCACATGGGTACGTTACTGATGAAGGCACTTGCCTGTAGATTTTAACCCAAGAACATAACCCTAACGATTAGTTAAATGCAGACTTTCCCCTGGGCCAAAATAACCTGACCTACATAACTGTGGATACAATGCCAAGTTAAAGCTAGTGAAGGCAGAATATCCTCACGACCTATTCGAGCCCAACCACACAGTGTCTGTGAGGAATCAACTGGCCTGTAGTGATAGCGAAGCAAAAGTGTGTTAAAGTTGGTTGGCACTTTTCCGAACAAAGAGCCGCCTGGTTCTGGAAGGACGCTGTGCCAGTTGCAAGTAAGCGCGATAGCCTCATTGTCGGAGGCATTCCGTCTTGCTTGCATATTTCACCGATCGAGCCATGTTTAAAACTGAAGTATTGTTGTCATTCATTGCTTGGTTTTGGAGCTGCGTAAACCTGCCTTTCTCAGCTTCTCACCAGGAGAGTGAGCCATTGATTGTAACTAGTTGAGATATAAAAGCGTGCCTTGGGCGACTCAAAAAGGTATGTGATTTGCTCACACGGGAGCTGCCCGCGCTACAGCTGACCACGGTAAAGCCGAAGATAGATGAACTGCATATGCACACACACACACAACGGGTGTTGTTGAGACGAATCGCGATCGCCTCCACCATTGCGACAATTGGGCATTTGCTAAATTTGAAATGAACACTTCTCACACGGTAGATCGGGCAAAAGGCTTTATTGATATCGACCGATTGATTCCTTTGGGCTAGGTGCGAGACTATTGCTGTCGAGCACGTTGCTTTCAATTCTCAGCTTAGCCACCTTGAGCACACTATAATGGAAAAAAGTGTTCCCAAGACATTCATTGGCATGGGTATGCGAACTGACTGCGTGGTCGCCAAAGTACGCACAGTAAAAGACGTCTACTTGTCGTTGTCACTCAAAAGAAACAATAGTTCCGAACAGTTAAGCAAACGATTACGAGCGACAGTCATTAACACCAACAGAGCCGCACAATTATGCATTAGCATTACTTCTACTTCCATGCCCCACCACCAGCTGAAATATAAACTGTCTGTGGAGGTCACCACTTTTGGTGCGCACCAGTTTACCTGTTCCTGTGGGCAAGTGACACAGGCTGCATCATGAGACGTTTGTGTGAACGCGTCCGCGAGCATTACCCAGCTTGAATAAGCTGAGGATTGAACGATACGTGTTTCACGGCAATGGTCGCGCACCTATCACGAACGAATCTTCCCGTCGTTATCTTAAAAGCCTTTCGCCTGATTTGCCCTGTGATGGGTGTCCATTCGAAGCTTATCAGATGCCGAATTATTGCATTAGCTAAGGAGATCGAGGTTCCTCGCAACAATCTCCCACCGTGTGTGTGCACAAACACTTCGTCAAAGTTTTAGCTTTCTCATGGTCAACCCAAGCACATGCAGCTTCCGTGTGAACACATCTCACACACATTTTAGGCATTTTCCACCTTCATATTTTAGTTGTTGAATTCACCCTTTCGTAACCTAACTATTTAAATGCGTTGCATTTAGCCTAACGATGAACTTTTGAAATGAGGCTGATTTTATTTGAACCATAGTCACTAGGCTAGAAACTGCTACCCAAACGACCTCAATAGACCCTGGAGGCAGGCGTACATCTGTTCCGCCTTAAGCTTGCGACTTGCATCTATCGCTAATTCGAGCCAGTCTGTCACAGTAAATGTGATATTACGGTACAGGTATTGATGAGTTTTTAATGCTGTCAGTGCAACTGGGAAAGTAAGGCCAAGGTGCTCTGGTGAATTGAGTCGACATGGCGACGGTTTACTCTATCGTGCACGTCATAGATGGATGAACTGCGCTCACTGTGACTAACAACGCAGTCACTTCATCCTTTAATCTCGCCTAATATCCAGCGTTTCGTGTCAGTAGTTCGCAGTGGAAGGGTCGCACGTCAGATTTCAGTGGGATTCGGTGCAACTGCCAACTGCTGTTGAATCGTTCTGGGGCGGAAACATAAGCATGAGTTGCCTATACACTATTTGCCAGAGCACTACAAGTCAAAACTTATCACATAAATTCCCAAGCTTAATCTTGAACTCTTGATCGCTGTACCCATCGTTCTTCAAGCATATTGGCGGTCTAGTGATCAGAGCGTCAGCTAGGAACCGTTAGGTCCCGACTTCCATTCCCATCTGCAGCCATCTATAGCTGAGATATTCAAACGAGGATGAAACTGGTCTCGGAGTGTAGTGTTGACAACCATCAACACTGAACACCATCCAAGTAAACTTGTGTTATATAAATGTTATACCTTTGCATTCTCCCTTTTTTCCAACACGTTTGGAAAAACAAGACCCAATGTCACCCGTATTTGTGGTTATGTAATCCGCACACAGGAAGTGAGTTTTATTTTTAAATACCAACCCAGTTGGGAATATGCTTGCATTCAAGGAATGCTGATTCATGCACAGGGAGCGATGAATGTGAGAAACACCTAGTATAGCTTCCAGTCTGTAGACTTAATGCTACATAAGCTAAACTTACATTGTAAACAAATGGCTACTCACCTATACCTTTCGTATTACAATCTGTGTGCTAGTATGTGAAATTAATGAAGAAGCGAGTCGATTCAATCATAGCAGTAGTCAGGCCTTTGGTTGAAGTCCTCGCACTGGAACTACGCGAAGTTTCCTTAGACTCGCGGTAGCCTCCGTCTATTGAGATTCTACCTCATCTAACCAATAATACAGAAAAGTAACCATATGGTTTGTATTTGATTCTTCGCAATAATCTGAGGGTTTTATGTCTACGATAACATGTCAACGATAGAATTAGTGAGAAAGTGCATGTAATGTATTTGACTGTGCGCACAATGTGAGAAATAGAGCATAACGGTAAAGTCTAATTAGGGACGGGAAAATGATGTCAGCTTCCATTTGATGGACATAATTAGGAATACACTTACGAATAATGTCATGCCGATCTGAGTACAGTGGACATCTGAACGCCTGCATAGATAAGACTGTTTCATCAATGTTCTTGTCCTCATGCTAGCAGTCGTAAACACGATAGCCGACGCCATGTAGTTAGTAGAGATTGAGACGTGAATAGCCAGAACAACGATAATCGTTCGAATTGTACGCGTTTCCCTTCCAACTGGACTGCTACCTCCTATTATGGTGACGATCACAAAACATGTATATTGGACCATTTTCATTTACTACTGGATTACCACTTCTTCCATCGAACATTAAATAGGTGACATCACCCTCTATACCGTCCCTGTCTTTTTCCGGTAGGTAAAATAATGAGGATGCTCGTCTTCTGGTACCCGGTGATGGCGGAGAAGTATAAATCGAGATTTCTCTTGGAACAGCTGGTGAAGCTGATTTGGCGGAGGCTTGTAATGGTCGTTGTATCACCATCAGAGGACTGGCAGTTGCTGGTCGATACCTGTAATCGGGAGATGGCGCGTAATTTACATTATATCGTATGGAAGATCGCCTGTAGTCGTCCTCCAGTGATGATACACTGCCGTCGAAATCCACATGAAGAAGAGAGCGGTGTAAATCTGAGCCTACACTCGGCACCGGGACCACACTGAGGTAAGATTCGGAACGCACCATCTTATCACTGTCTTCGAGTGCTCTTCTAATGTAGGTCTCCACCTTGTAAGCGTCCTCTCTGCTTTTACACTTGTAAACCTCATAGTATTTTTTACCACTGACTTCAGAATCCACGCTGATTACAAAAAATTCCGGTTTGGTTGGATTGCGTCGAATATCGAAAATTTCTCGATAAAACAGAAACGAACGGAATGGTGCTCTCGCGGTTCTCTTGTTTTTCTCCAGAGTGAAACGATCTTCCAAAATACTCATTGTCGCGTGTGTTTGACGTTTCCTGATATTCTTAATCATGCAGTGCTCAGCCGAAGTTCTCAAAAATTGCTCCTTCCGCTCCAAAATTTCTCTATAGACGGTACACACATGTGTTTGAAAGAAAAGCTTCTGTTTCGTCTCCTCGTGGATCAGGCGTCCATCAATGTACTGCGAACCTCGAGGCAAAGATGAGTCTCCGCGTCTTCGGTTTCGTGACATGATAGAGTGAGTGCAACTGGATGCAAGGACAGCACCTCACAGCTTATTTAGCTTGAAGACCGGTGATCAGGACTGCTTTTTCGCCGACGCAGAACTCGAAGTGATTTGTCGTTCGCTGACAATCGATAGCATACGCCGCCCCCACTTCCACGTACCAATGCGACAGTCAAGCATAAACATGTTGTCGCTGGCGGCGAGGCAGTGTGAGCATGTTACTATGCGGAATGTAGAAGACCTACGAAACCGCAGTGACCTTGAAGAAATAGCGGTGAGAAGCACAGAGAACGTGCTAGTAACAACACTGGCGAAATATGCATCCCCTATGAAATCCCATAAGATCCGTAAAAAAATAAAAGCAGAAAAGGTTCACCTCAAAATTCTGACAGTGAGTTAACTACGATGAGGGCTGACGAGCAAACATTGGTTATATTTAACTAAACTCGAGCAATCTTCTATGATCCATCAAATATCATTGCCAGAGTGGGGTAGTCACTTCTTGAAGTATCTGCTGTGGTTAGGCGAGGCCAGGTTCGCTACCGACAACAATGAAGTAAGATGTGGATGAAAACTTTCGGTGGATTACCATACATGGAAGCAGGTCCGAGAGGACGGTTCCATGGATGGTCGTAGTATTTTACTTAAATTGCCGGCTATACCTGCATTTACTCTTACTCTTAAACTCTTTTACTTCATAGAACATTCCTAACACTCCATTGGCACCAATGAAAAAAATTCAACAACTTTCTCCACTATCCAAACACATTGTACAAAATGATCAGGCTAGGTACTTGGTCCGTCTCATGATGTAGAAAAATAATTTATTTATTTATTTTTTATATCTGTTCATATCTGATGCATTAAACAAATATAATGGTGGGTGCAACCAGATAAGCTTAAGGTGCAAAACGAATGATGGAAGTTCACACCTACGTCCAAGGCAGCTTTAGGCTGACAAAAAGAAAGTGTATATCGAGTTACCTTTCAAAGGTGACTTAATCACGCTGAAGACAACTAAGCGTTTAATTTCGGCTACACATGGAGGTTACTATGCTGTACAAGGTGTCGTCATTAACCGAACCCGAAATTTGCCTATACCTCCAACAAAGGAAGATCAGCCTATTGGGGCCAACTCCCACTGTGTATACCAATTTGTATGGGACTGCGGAAAAGTTACATACGCAGAACCAGTAGAACGCTGACTTCCCGAATAAAGGAACATGTGCCAAGATGGGTTCAACGTGAAGTTGCTCAGATTGCCTACCGTCGTCGGATTCCATGTTCGCGCAGACCGCCGGCTTCCACGAAAGACAAACACCTACTAGACTCTGGTCAACGGAGAGAGCTGAACTAAGCGTTTAAAGCTGCGTTACGTCACACTAACCCACACTTTCTTCCGTTTGCTGAGGCTGTCACTATAAGCCGGATTAAGCCAGCCTTGAGTGTTCAGAAACAATTATTTGTCAGCCTAAACCTGTCTTGGACGTAGGTGTGAACTTCCGTCATTCGTTTTGCACCTTAAGCTTGTCTGGTTGCACCCACGGTTAGCTATATATATATATATATATATATATATATATATATATATATATATATATATATATATATATATATATATATATATATATATATATATATATATATATATATATGCATATCGGTTATTGTTAATGGTACTGAGGAGACAATACGAAATACATGCATCTACCAGCCTTCGTCTTCTTTCCGTGCTTTTTAAATTGTTGAAGGGAACTAACTGCTTTAAATATAATAGTGTTTCCTGCGACTGGCTCACCGGCCATATCGGCAACCAACATACCTTGATCGCAGTCATGATCCACTGTTATGGTTCTGCCTACGAAAAGTTATAGAAACATAGCCATGGATTTAACTGGTTTAAGACGCTAGGATAGAGACTAGTGACTGAATATCTAATACTGATACCTAGTTGATAAAAGTGGATCGCAGTTGCAAATAGTTCATTCAGATTGGTTTACATTTCATGTTATTTGAAGGCTGTGCCTAAGGGAATGGACCGTTTTGCAATGCCTGAGCTTTTGTTACCTTAATTTGAGCTTCCTTTAGACAACAAGCTTGGTTAGAGCGGAACGAAAGGCGATGAGCTGAGTGAACCAACTTAAAGTGATGCCTTTCCCAGTTGGAATAAAATTATGGCCTGCTATTTATGTGCTCTTCAAAGGGAATAAAATCACTTTACACAATTTAGTGAATGAATATATCACCCTCTCTGATCCATACAATTTCAGATTGTCTGCTGCGTTCGTACATCTTTTGGAAACCTTTTCATTAACTGTACTTGATTACTGGTCACTTTCAACGAAAAAATCATGCATGGGATAGGGTCAGGACAGCGAAAGTATCATCCCACTGAAAGCAACATGGTGGCCTTTAGTACATATTATTAATGTGGGCAAAAGTTTGTCAGTCGCGGTTGACAGTGGGAATGTTGAAAAGGATATGGGAAGCAGCACATTCACCGGTAAGCACAGCAGAAAACAAAAGCCACAAAACGAAAAAGATGAAACTGTTCCTAAGAGGTAAGATTCAGCACCACATTGACCGTCCCAGCAAAAACAACTGTGCTGTCTAGACAACACAAGGGAACTATTGCGTCAAAATCTTAGGAGAGGATTAAATTGCACACTGGAACTTCTACTGAAATTTTGCTCAATCCCAAACTACTTCCTAAACACGTGAAGAAAATTCATGAATTCAAGCGCGAAATTCCTGCTCTGCACACAAAATGTGGGCTAGGGCCAACGGCAAAAGTGGTTGACAATATTCTTGGACAATAATTAAGCCGCACCCTCCAAAGTTCAACCTAATTTTACCTCCTTCCTACGCGGATCGTGCCGCCATCGGGACCTAACCACATATACGATACCACCGCAGACTTACTGAAGTCGCCCATGTTCTTACGTGCCATTGCTAAGAGAGTGAACCTCAACATCGTGCGATGGTTTGTGTGTCTCAGTGATCCATTGAGCTATGCTGCATGGTGCATTCTGCACCTTCACAGAGCTACTCATACCAGATTGATCAGTGGTTAGAGGTCAGACAAACTCAGTTTCTTGGCCATCCAGATTTCTGGTTGGCGTAAATGTGGCTGCTTACTTCATAATGCAGACCATTTGTAGTCCAATACCAAACGTCCGCTGCCATGCGGTCAGGTTTTGAACCCAAGGCTTTGCTTGAGAACCCTACTCCTTCTTCTGTCTAAACCTGGGCAACCTGACAGTACCCTGCCTAGTCAGTGCCACTCTATGAACTACTGTCCACATGATCTCTGGATGCTCTAGCCGTTTCAGCGGATAATAAACGGCTCCCTATCTGGTGCATCGAGCAGGGCGGAGAGGGGTTTTGGTGCTACTGCGCAAGCTTACCAGTCTTCTTATCTCCCTCTTGCGCCTTTTCATCCTTATCATCCCACTCGAAATGCACTTTTATCCCCTGTTTTTTATCCCCAATTCTTGGCCCTCCTCGTTCTTGCTTCAGTAGTCTCTTGTCTGCTAATTTCAACTCACACTCAGTCACAGGAGTTCCCTCCAATCCAGTCGACAAGTCCATGTTCAATCAAACGGACAACGTCACATCCTCGCTAAGACTGGTATACATCAACGTGCGTACTTTGCTACAGCCTAGTCAAATAGCAGTGCTTGCTGGAACACTAGAGCCTCCCTGTCGATGGGCATTTGCTGCTTATCGGAAACTCATCTGAAAGATCGGAGTTCCGTGATTACCATGCAATCCCCTACAAGCGACACCAGCGGCACATCCTCATTGCGTCTGTCTTGAGATGACGCAGCTTCAAATGCCGGTTAAGCCGTCAAGGGCATTGTTTTGAGTCCCCGAGCTGAAACTGCCCCGATCGCCGGATGTGCACAGTTAGATTGGCTGGCACATTCCAGGCATCAAAGAGAACGTGGAAAAGCGGTGCCTGATTTTCATTGCGGTCCACGCCCCCCACAAACTGCATCCGTGATTCGGTGAAAGATAATTCAACCACCAAATTAACGATCTCCTTCGTTACAGAAGAAGTACGGATACCGTGGTGCTCGCACGTGACCAAAACGTCCAAGTCGGAATATTATCCAATGATGTGCTTCATCTTGGGGGTTACCATAGTTTAGGCGCCCGTAATGATTACGGCGAGCGGTCGCTACACCTGTGTGAAGATGCTTGTCTCCCTCTCGCGAGCAATAATTTTCGATATGGCACTCGCAGTGGAGTGACTTCGCGACCATCAGCCTCGGACCAGCCATGGACGCAAAGTGATCACCCCGCGACCAGTTACTGTGGGAGAGGCTGTGTCCAAAACTGTCGTTCGATTTGGAGCAACAGCGTGGACTCCAATCACGCTCCTGTGTGTGACGACCTTCAGGTACGTTTCGGCGGATGTCCGCAACGTTACTGCGCGCGCATAGACACCAGCCAACTGGCGAAGCCAGTTGCTCTGAATGTGCATCAAAATACGCTGGCATCCGGGCTGAGTAAGCGCCAACTAATCACCGTTGAAGATCACTGGTCGATTGTTAACCAGATGTTACTATCAGCAGGCATGTATTCATGCGGAAAATCAAATAGGCAACCTGGACCTCGGGTCTCTACACAGTCTCTGGAACTTTTGAATGCTCACCAACATATACCGGCTAGAAGAGATTACAATGAGACTCACAAAATTCTCAGGGCAAAACTGCGTGCAAGTCTGAAGAGAGGACGCGAAGCCTGGTGATCTCATTGTGCATCGGCGATATAAAAAACCACTTTCCTTGATAACCATCGGAAGTTATTCTGTCTGATAAAGGAAACGGGTGGCAGATCTGGTGTTATCAAGACCATACGCAACGTGAGTGGGCGGCTGATCCACAGCTTGTCAAGACGCTTGGAGCGTTGGACCAAAGACCTTGAATGGTAGTTTAGCTAACCGGTTGTCACTTTATTTTCTGGGCATTGATCGCCATTCTCTATGACCTACCTCCTTG